TATCGTTTTTAGTTTTCACGTAACACTTGGTTTTCTGGAAAATTCGACCGTTTTTACAAAAACCCAGTTTTTTCGAAAACTGGACCTGACCCAGCAATTTGATTTTCGGATTCGTATTTAGGGTAAGGAACTCTATAAGAATTACATAGTTGCTATTGCAAAAACTAACATAGGTCAAAATTTGTTTCACAGTATATATTGATGTGTGACTTTGAAGTCACATGATCCTATAGGGGGTTAAATTACTCTGTTATCTATATGTGATTCCGCTAATCATTCGTATTAAACGGTCACGCTACGTTGCATGCACTTCCGGAGACGGTGTATTGAAAAATGCCGTAATTGTACATTTGAATACTAAAGCATTCGTACGCATGACTAAACAACCTATTGTTTATTTTATAGACACGGCACATATACATACTTACACATGTAATGTATATATATATTTACTCACATTTTCCATTCTTTTTCTTTTAGGGCGCCATCATGATCGTTGTCAAACATATCAAACATATCCTTGATCCTCCAATCATGTTGCTCGAGCTCGTCCGGCGGAAAGAGTGCGCCACAAATCAACCGAAAGTTTGAGTAATTTAAGGCGCTCTCTACATTCGGTACATCGAGATTGGCTAAAAATTTCTTGGCAGTCAGTTGTTCCTTCCGGCCAAACAAATCGATTTGCGAATTAACGTTGTTCGTTTCCATGCTTCACGTGGGCATGAAGTCAGTAACGCTTCGATGCAAATAATCGTTATCAGTTGGATTCCGTTCCCTGCTCGAAACAACCCTCTTCGCTGTAAACTGTTATGAAATAACTGTGATTAATTGGCGCACGATTCACCATCGATTAATCTGAGCAGATAACACGAGCTTATTTTACGAAGTGGTCCTAACACCTAATGCTTTGCGCAACATCCACGCGCGTCCACGAATCGATCGCCGTATATATGTGCTGTGAACTTATGTTGCCTTGAAATCTTTTTTCTGTACCTGGACATTTATGTAATTCAATTTTAAATTGATCACTTAAAGAAACTAACATGCCCCAAATGTCTCGGATTCTCTCATCTTTCCAAAAAGAAAGAATCATGATTCATGATCACACGTGTTTCAAAAATAAGTGTAATGTATAGTTAGGTTCAAAGGTATCAGCCGATTACGACGAAAGTAACAGGTTTTATTCGAAAACGGCGGCTCAAAAAGTAAAACTTGAATGAATCTATTTTGAAGGTAGTACGTTAAAAATTCGGTACAGAATTTCAATGTGATAGTACAGCAGCCACGGTTAAATTAAATTTCAGTATTTCGTTTTCTTTAATTAGAAAAAAAATAATGATACTAGATGATTAGAAGATGAGAAGCTTTATTTATGAATTAAAATTTCATGGTTTCTTTTATTTGATTAAACGTTTCACATGAATGCGATTGTATACTGGAATCAGATTATAAAACTCCCTTATAGAACGGTCGTTCAATAAAATACAACGTTTAATAGGAAATTCATTAGTCCTCGGACTAATTGGCGAGATATATTCGTAACTACCTGTATATAATAATTGTAATCTGCAGTTGCTCTTGCTCACGGACGTAATTTCAAAATTACAGGAATGTTGACAAACCACCTTTACCTGCCTTCACTGGCGGTGTAACTGACAATGCTTACCTTAGATCCTCTTTATATATAGGAATCCCAACGTTAACAACCTATTGAACCACAGCGCACTTGTGCGACGATTGAAGAGACACGTTGATTGAAAAGTCATTTAAGGCCGAAATCTACGCAATTGGAGTTAACATGCAGAGGAATATAAAGAGTATTACTTTAACCGTTTTAGTGCCGGGGGTTTTTAAAAATCCGTGTCGGATTGTGCCATGCAGCGCGATAGCGCTTCGAATTGACGATCATGACCAAACATCGCGGCATATTTCACTACGGTACGCGAACAGTGCGATCGTGCTGCGTGGCGCTAAAACGGTTAAACAAACAAATTGAGCAGAAAAAAATTATATAGGGAGGTTTCATAACCGGAGTATACATAAATTATGTACGAGTAAGAGAAAAAAGTATTCGTCATACACGTCTACTATCAACTTGTTTCCAATAAACCGCTCAATTAAAAATTATTTAAACTTTTTATCAAGAGTTTAGCTATCTAATGTAAGTGATGTAAGTAATTTTGAGAAGTTCCACGAAATAATGTTATATCTATTCTTTTTCCATTTGATAACGGGTTTACGCAGCGCGCATTTAATACTTACATGAGGACCATTAATTATCAATCTCTCAAGGTAAAAGTACGTAAAAAGATATTCAATGAAATGCATGTGTCATTTTTTATCTGTGATATTATCATTATTGATGTTAATCATAACTGGTAATTTTGAAAATTAAAATTTTTTGTCGCAAATAATTGAATGATATAATATAAACTACAGTGAAGGGTGTAATCGGATGGAAGAAAATACTTGGTTTTTGCTTAATGAAGCTTTATTATTTATCATAAATAATTGAAAATAAATTAATTTAAAACTGGATGTAATTACAGTTAATTGAATTGCGGAACCTAACAAAACATTTTAAACGATAAATAAGTACAATTTTATTAATAATTTATTCATTAATAATCTGTATTAATAAATATTTTATTATTTTATTAATAATTATTTATCGTTGTAAAAACTAAACATATCGAACAAAGGTGTAACATTGCATTACAAATACACGTCGCAATAATAAAGTCATCATTTCGTATTGCCTCTAATAAAAATTGTAATAAATTCCATTTTTGCGGAAAATAAGAAGAAACATTCCTGGATGGGCATTTCTTCTTCAGTGTTTGTTTAGAATGTTATATCATTATTATAAATGATAATTGTTTTTATAATAGTAATAATAATAATATGCGTGTTGTTTATTAGTCTAATTGAACAGCAGAACTTATCGCCATGACTTCATATGACTTTTGTAAAATATAACAAATAAAATATATAAAAACTGAGTTTGAATTTAAGTTCTAAAAACCCTAATTCTTATTATAAACTAGGTAAACGGCGACATAAAGCTTGTCTTGTTGCTGTGATTTCAGATGCCATTTTGTTAATAAAGGGATGTCTGATCTTCCCATTGGTTGCAACAAAGAACTCTTCCAACTCACCAGGAACATTGTCTCTCTTCTCATACTCATATGCTTGCATTATTAAATCTAGTCTGTCCAGATCCTTCACGTATTTTGCTTCAGGGGATTCTTGTTTTTCGTATTCCTATATAAGTACAAAATAATTGTGTTATATGAAGAAACATCAAACCAAATGAAAGCTATTCTTTTATAATCTAGGGATCTGATAATTCTAAGAAACTCTATTACTATCTCACATCATAACTTTATAGCTTCATTGTATGTTTGCAAGGTGATAACTTATCATAAGTATTTAATACAAAATGTAATTATCATGTCACAGAAAATAAATATAATTTGAGACAAAAGGCAGTAAAGAAACAAAACATTTGTGAGCTAGATACAGTGACTGCCTAGTTATTCTCAACCACATCTAAGTTAGCTATTGCAAATTTTTGTTTATCTTTACTGCCTGTCCTTATCAGATGGTCTCAACTATATATTATCCTAAGAATAGATATTACAGTAATGTACTATGTATTCAACTGAACCTTACTCTAAACATCTCCAATATCATTGGTCCCTTATCACCTAGGAGTTTACAAATCTCTTCCATAGCTTCATCTTCTCGCCTATGTTTTTCATCAGGCGCAACTCCACAGTGAGGTGTTATATCTCCTACAATACACTCCGCCAAGTCATGGATCAAAGCCATCTGCATGATTCTATAAATACAAAAGAACATTGCTTGATTAATAGAACTTAAAAAACAACAAATCTCATAAATAACATAATAATACCATTTCATACTTGACTTTGTCTAACTGTTCATCGTTATCCACTAGGAAAGACAACATAGCCATCCGGTACATGTGCCCTGCAATTGTCTCTGGATCAGTGATGTTTCTGATGACCCATCCTGTCCTCTTCATGTGCTGAAATTGTAAAGATGTTTCTATTGATATTTAGACCTTAGAAAGCAAGACATTCGACAGAGACAGCAATTCACAAATTTCTCCAAATTTGTTTTAAAATTAATAAAATTATAAAGTTACTTTAAAGATACTTTCGTAGTTATACATTTTTGTGGATTAGTTCACATAAACTAGAATTGATCATCCGGTTCTATCAGATTCAAAACAACTTGACAATTTCATCAATGTTTCCCCTATACTGGACCTAGAATCGTTGCTGTATGAATATGAATGTATAAAAAGCCTAATTATTATATAAGAAACATACTGTATACAATGCAGCAGCGATAGCATTATTAAAAACTGAGTCCGTCCGATTACAGCTGATCGAGGGACTGCCAAAACTGTATACCCCTATACATTATCCTTGCACGCGTTTACCGAAACTACGAGTTTATATTTGTCACAATGCCGCCTGGTGACATCTCTATGACGACAGAGGCTCACCTTCAGTCGTCCAACTAATTCCATGAATTCTTGCAAATTTTTCAGGTCCATATCGAAGAACTGGTAATTCTCTTTTCCTCGTTGATTTGAGTAACGAAAGCCAAAGCGATATCAGACGCGGATCGTAGACGGGTATTTTTTCTAAGTCAATTCAATTTCGCGCACAATTTTTGAGCAACGACACGAACTCAACGTCAGAAAAATAATGGAACCCGAGAAGTACGAATCCTTGATTGCACGTGGAAACTTGTAACAAATGCTGTCCACAATCCGAAGACTGAGATATATGCATCTGTCCCTAATGTACCTAGCACATTCGCCTGACAATAAGTATGTCCGCACTGTCCAAATTTTACATGTTAAGTGAAACAGGCTACCCCTACTTTGTCTCCGTTGTCAAGGAAATCAAGATACTAAATGCGAATCCATCTGCTACTGTCTCTATGTTGAACACGAAACTCTAATTGTAAGTTCTCTGTTTTTTTATTAGTGATGCTGCTGTCCTTTCTTAGCACTACCGAGTGGAGGGGATGAGTTTGAGGGGCCCCACCCGTAGCAACTCGGAAATAGGTTATGTACTATTTCGTGTATGCAAGTGTGTTGAAATCTATTGATGTGTGTAAGAGCATAGATGGCGCCATTAATTTCGCGCAAACTCCTTGTGAGAAGGGATGTACAGGTTGTTTATTGTGATCACCAAGCCTAGGAAACATCATATCACATCAATATTATTGACCGTGAGGATTGTATCAACTGTAATAGAAAACTTGGTTTAGCATAATATTTGATTCAAATTGTTGAAGTACAAGGTGTTATGCAAACTACAAATAGGTGATAAGATATTTAAATGTTGTAAAAAAAAACACGCTAAAATGATTGCCGAATAAATTTATATTTTTTAGAGGAATATATACAACGAAGGAAGAGAGTAATACAATAAAAAATCGTCGTTTGATAAAAAAATTAAAATATTTTATTGTAGGACAGTCTTTTGCCGAATAGTTTATTTTGTAACTTAAATGTAAGGAAATTTACATAATATTCGATTAAAACTGAACTAAATTAGAATATGTTGATTATATTAATGTTGAATAATTTACACTAAAAGAACTTTCATTTGCTATAATACTAGTTGCTCTATTTTTATTCGTTTTGTAAGCGGAAATACTCTACAAGGATCCTGAAAAAACCTATATAGTTTACTGTAATTATAGCAGTAATGTGTAAGTGCACCTTGGTTACTTCTAATTTTAACCAGCTCTTGACAGTTCCGTGCAAAATGGCGTATATATCTAATTTATAATTGCCGCGCTAGTTTTTCCAAATATAACTTCCTATCAATAGTAAGTACCTAAATACCTATGTATTCGCACAGAAGGTATTTCCATTTTTTAAAGTAAATTATGTTTCATTTTAATTAAAAAGTTAAATTAAAATTTCTAAAGTGAGCTACACGCATCTATTAATTTGTCCTACTTTATATATTAAACATTTTTACCGTTTCTTATTTTACGTTCTGTCAGAAACTTAATGGAAATTCCCCTATCTTAACTGAATTACTATTTTTTTTATTTCAACGAACAACATTAAACACTGCGTATTGAGAGGAATAAAACAATTTTAAAACAAGCAAATTTTTTTCTAAAAGTAAAACATGCACTCGTTTCTTCGTAATAGCTGCAAAAAAACGCTGCCACCTGGTGAAAAATCCAAGAAGTTTGCCACGGTATTGTACACTTGTGAATTGGCCCATAGACGCGAGAGAGACCGATCATTGTAAACTAGCACGTCGTTCAGTCAGCTGACCTGTCTTGTGATAGCAGCCAGGCTCGTCTCCGAAGCTTGACTCGTTGTTGTAGAGTGGACTTACTTCGATACATTGCACATCTCGTAAGTTCTTTAATCGTCACTTATCTTGGTCACCGTACGTTACTTTGATTTACTATACGGTAGAGAGAATTACGACAATTTCATTTTGTATAAAGCGTGCCAGAGACTTTCTACGAAAAGACTGGCGCGTACAAGTATCGATCGTGCCAGTTTGAATGCGCCATCGTTTCTTGATCAGCGGTAGAATTTATACATTTCGCTCAGGCAGTATTCATGTGTATCGCATAATTTAAGGGAACCTCCCAATGGTTGAATTAAGCTCCTCGCTTGGACGATCGATGGATAATTATATTGTTCAGAATCTACATTCTGTTAGGCCAGCAGACGTCTCGCGGGCTTAAAGAGGGCTACGCCTACTTTTTAAATGAACTGCTCACGTGAATTTCAACGATGAATGGATGCGCTATCTGACATCAAGTTTTTCACCGATTTAAAGTACATTTCACTCACGATACTCGTTTCAAACATTCGACTCGAACGAATTCTCCGCATACGTCATCTTTTTATCAGTGTTTCCTTATATTTTTCTGTGTTTCAAGGTGCTCGGTCCGTTTTTATTGAATGTCAGATCAAAGCGAAACTGATTTGATCAAATATCATAAATTAACAAGTACCTTTTTTTCATTTTCAGCCTCACTGAAACGAATATTTCTATAAAATTAATTAATAATACTAACTCTGAACTGATTCTTGCATCAGTGGGGTAATTATCTTATCCCAAAGTGATAGTTTGACTTTTTTTTTAGTTCAATCTTATGTACCTTGAAATTGTTTCAATTAATCATTTTAAAAGGATTTATACATCATTGTCTATATTTTTTCAATACCTTTAAATTATCTATAAGTTGATTCCGTTTATGTTAATTATTTTATGTGTAGATTTTATTTTATATACTTTCATTGTATTACATGATACAAAATGCTTGCAGCTGTTGGGTGGTTTTGATTTGATTAAGATTCACAATGACTAGCCGTGGGTTGCCAAAGATTGCTATGGAGGAGAAGGAGGGTAAATTTGGCTATGTATACGCAGTGTCCGGTCCTGGTTAGTACACAGAAATTATTGGTTGAAATTCATAATTTTATCCAATCAGTAATTTGTTCATTAATTACTTATAGTCGTCACTGCTGAGAAAATGTCAGGGTCAGCTATGTACGAGCTGGTCAGAGTAGGATATTATGAATTAGTAGGAGAAATTATTCGTTTAGAAGGTGATATGGCTACCATTCAGGTATTATAAACTTCTTGTAGATATGGACAAATTAAATTATGTTCAATTTCACAATTTTACTATATCCTATGTTAATACATTGTTAGGTATATGAAGAAACCAGCGGTGTAACTGTAGGTGATCCCGTGCTTCGTACCGGCAAACCATTGTCTGTAGAATTGGGTCCTGGTATTCTTGGCAGTATTTTTGACGGTATCCAGCGTCCACTGAAGGACATCAACGAACTTACTGGCTCTATTTACATCCCAAAGGGTATTAATGTGCCCTCTTTGTCAAGAACTGCATCCTGGGAATTCAATCCATTGAACATAAAGAATGGAAGCCATATTACTGGAGGAGATTTGTTTGGTGTGGTTTATGAAAACACATTGGTGAAACATAGAATGATTTTACCACCAAAAAGTAAGGGAACTGTTACTTATATTGCCCCTGTTGGAAATTATACAGTTAATGTAAGCGATACAGTTTTGTAATATTAATTAATTTATAATAATATATACATATTACAGTGCATAACTAAATATTATCGTCTTGTTTTTCTCAGGATGTTGTATTGGAGGCAGAATTCGATGGAGAAACGCAAAAATACACTATGCTTCAGGTACTCGATCTTATTTAAATTTGCAGACAGAAATTATTTAAAAAATTTATTTCGTACTACTCGCAATAGTTCGTATGAATATATTAATATAATGGTAACACATGTGCATGCAGGTATGGCCGGTACGTCAACCTCGTCCCGTCACAGAAAAATTGCCAGCTAACCATCCTTTACTTACTGGTCAAAGAGTCTTGGACTCGCTCTTCCCGTAAGAACTTAACTTTTCGCTTTCACGTACATTATACGGTAAACAGGATCGTCAGAGGTATTTCTTAAAATTGTAGATGCGTCCAGGGTGGAACCACGGCAATCCCAGGTGCCTTTGGTTGTGGTAAAACTGTAATTTCCCAAGCTTTGTCCAAATATTCCAACTCTGATGTCATTATTTACGTTGGTTGCGGAGAACGTGGTAATGAAATGTCCGAAGTACTTCGTGATTTCCCAGAACTAACTGTAGAAATCGATGGCGTCACCGAGTCTATCATGAAGCGTACGGCTTTGGTTGCTAATACCTCGAACATGCCTGTAGCTGCTCGTGAAGCATCCATTTACACCGGTACGTGTACAGTTACTAATAAAAAAAAAAGTGAAAATCCAATATTATTTACTACAAAGTGTCCTATATAATTTTATTTTCTCATTTTTTAGGTATCACACTCTCCGAGTACTTCCGAGATATGGGTTACAATGTTTCTATGATGGCTGACTCAACATCTCGTTGGGCTGAGGCGCTTCGTGAAATTTCTGGTCGATTGGCTGAAATGCCTGCAGATTCTGGTTATCCCGCTTATCTCGGAGCACGTCTGGCTAGCTTCTACGAGCGTGCAGGAAGGTGAATATCATTTTAAGAAAGTCAGTTTTATTACTTCTTTATGTTACTAATATTGGACATATTCTTTTTTAGAGTAAAATGTTTAGGTAACCCTGATCGCGAGGGTTCTGTCAGTATAGTAGGTGCTGTATCGCCACCCGGTGGTGACTTCTCTGATCCTGTTACTAGTGCAACTCTTGGAATCGTGCAGGTACGAATATATTATTATTCCCCTCCCCCTCTTTTAAGTTACTTTACTTTGATATACGAGGCTGTAAATACTATTTCATAATTATGAACTTAACTATCCTCTTTTTCAGGTGTTCTGGGGTTTGGATAAAAAACTTGCTCAACGTAAGCATTTCCCGTCTATTAACTGGCTCATATCGTATAGTAAGTACCTGCGAGCTTTGGATGATTTCTATGACAAGAACTTCCAAGAGTTTGTACCTTTACGAACAAAAGTAAAGGAAATCCTGCAAGAAGAAGAGGATCTATCAGAGATTGTACAGTTAGTTGGTAAAGCATCTCTTGCGGAGACAGACAAAATTACTTTGGAGGTGGCGAAACTTCTGAAAGATGACTTTTTGCAACAGAACAGGTATTAATCCTGTTTTTCTAGTATCCGAACACTTAAATATAATCAGTTGAAATTTATAAGGAATCCTTTCTCACAGTTATTCGCCGTACGATCGCTTCTGTCCATTTTATAAGACCGTGGGAATGTTACGAAACATGATTGCATTCTATGATATGGCGAGGCATGCAGTAGAGTCAACGGCGCAATCGGACAATAAAATAACATGGAATGTTATAAGGGACAGCATGGGCAACATTCTTTATCAACTTAGTTCCATGAAGTTTAAGGTAAATATTAATCACAAAAAACTACACAACTATTTACTGGATAAAGTAGACTTGAATAATTAATGTTATATATGATAATTTTCTAGGATCCTGTTAAAGACGGTGAAGCAAAGATTAGAGCTGACTATGATCAGTTACACGAAGATATCCAACAAGCGTTTAGAAATCTAGAAGATTAATTATCGGGGGCAATCATACAAATATAATTTCTCCATGTGAACGTTCAGGAATCTTGTGCTGGTCATTTAAGGATGTCCTGGATCTGCTGGAGAAAAAAATATATATAAAACAAGCATTCATAATCACGTATCGCACACTAAGTTGTTATATTAGTTTCAATATTTACGACAAAAAAAAATTGTACATAAGAAATTACAAATATAAAGTCTACTGTAACCGTATGTGTATTAACTAACATTTAACGGAAAATCATACGTGATAACTGCTGCAATAAAATATAGGACGTCCTTAAATGTGTTTCCAGCTCATGCAAATTAAATGAAAGGCTATAATGAATTACTTCTGGTCATTAAAAATAAAATTTTGATTATTTAATGGACTGTGGGTGATTATGCAAATTGGTATGTCATCAGATTAATTTATAATGACAAGAATAAAAAACAAAATAATTATTTCTTATAATTACATTTACAAAAAATCAAACACTTTAACGCATGAAAGCCGCAGTCTAATAATCATTGTGAAGTTGTCAAAAAATGATAAGTTGCCTGGAGAATAATAAAGCTTCCGGTTAGATTTTATTTTGCGCTAATTGGAGAGTAACTCGCAAAAAGAATGAAGTGCAGAAGAACTTTTGTATGTATGTAAAATGAGACTAAAAGGGCATCGTCAAAAGCTTTCCATTCATCCATTCGCGAAAGAGTATATATTATTAATGATATGCTTAAATATTTTTGTTGTTGCATGGGATGACATGGCAGCTTTTTACAGAGAATGAAATTTCAATTAAAGAGTATTAAATATTGTATTATAAATAGCGTATTATGTAAACATATTAAGCGACAAATGCAGACGTTACATAAAAAGTAGATGTTATTTTAAACGTTTAAACGTTGCAAAAAATGGTCTGAAAGTTTAAAAAAAATGTGTCAAAATGTTGAACTGTTAAGGTGCAGGGTCTTTTATCGTTGAAAGAAAAGAAAGTATAAAAAAAGATGCATCGTATACAGTGTTCCAAGTAACTTCAACATTTCCATTGTAACATATGTAAAAACGAATAAAGACTATGCATTAAAAGGAAAAAACAGAAGAAACTAGTCTTCCTTCAGGCTCATTGGTGTCGGATAAGTAATCATAACAATAGGCTTCATTAAATTTCATTTTAATAATATTATTATATAACAATAACCTCGCGATATATACATCAACGATATATTACAAACCAGTATTTAATTTTCAATTATTTCGATGCCGTTATCTTGTGACATTCGAAATTCCAGATTGAAAAAAATATGTTTATTGCTATATGCATACGTATATGCATATGTACACATACGTGTATATATACACATTTAAATATACATACACACCCATACGTGTACGATTAATCTATTTTACATTCTCACTTCCTAATTCATTTCATGAAGTACCTACTCTACACTCGTGAAAATAGTATTAAAAATAAAAAATATTCAACGTTCTCTGTGATTTTTCAGTCGTCATATTTCATATTGTAATTTTATCGTTAACGTTCCAACAAAACTTACATCTGTTTATTCATTTTTAAAAATTGAAATTGACTGTGCTCTGTCTGCACAGTCTAAAATTGCATAATCCGAACGCTTAAATTCAATGCTCAACATTCACAGCCTTGGCTCGTTCACGTACACGAGGCAATTCAATGCAACTTATTATGTTTGCATATTACAAAAACAAATTCATTTTAAATAGGTCCTGCAAGGAATAGTCGTAACTTCCAACATTGCCGTTGCGATCTTATAATATAAAATTGCACTCAAGATATATTAATTAAATTCATAATGAAACGATAATTTTGAATAAAATGTTTTACAATTGTATTCAATTTTATGATTTAGTTTTTGTTTAAAACAAAATCTTTAGGCATCGATTGATTACGCTATACCCTTTTCCTTATTATCAACAAAATTTAGTACGAATATGAATATACTCCGTATTGTTCAAAAGAATCTCTGATAGCAGCGCAGGTCTAATTAATCAATTTTTCTTTTCTCGTCTTATTTTCGATACTAATTTGCTATTTGTCAATGCATTTACACATATTCAGTCGAAACTATAAACAAAACTTGTAGCAGGAGACTTCCCTTGTCCCTGCGCCGTCCTCGGGTTCTTCTCGTGAACAACGCGAAGTACGTACAATATACATAATTGCAAATCTAGTTATGACTATACCATTTTTAGGACCATTTCATACATTTCGAAAAATATTAATCCAATATGACAAAATTTATTGTGGCTCCCGTGAAAAAAGAAATCATAAGAGTAAATACTTCGTCTGACTATCGAGCCAGCTTATGTACCCTAATATTTACAAAAAGAAGCACTGTGTTATGGACTAAGAAATTTTTAAGGACTCAAATGAACAACGTCGACGTTAGTTCCCGTGGATGATATCTGAGATCTTAGTTGAAGATTTTCTCGTTTCAATTGTGTAACAAGTTGCTTCAAGGCAGTTATTTCTTGTCGTAATTTCTCATTATCTCGTAGACATTGACCCAATCCTTGATTGGCTGCTCGTAATTCTCCTATGTATTCACAGGCCTTTGCCAGAATTCCTCCTTTGCTCTATATAAAAAAAAGTTAAATAGAAAATATCTTAATTACCGTTCGTTAATATTGCAGGGTGTGAATGGTCAATTGTCTGTGCACATGGTCTATATCGTCTTACAACTGGGTGGCGCCGGTATATTTGGGAATTCGAGTGACTGCGTTTAGAAAATCTTGAGTGGCTGAAAGAGTGCAAAGCAAGAGTGTTTGGGACTAACCGACTGGACCGTGAGAATGCAGGGATTAACGAAGTGTGTAGAGACGTGACTGAGTTTTAATTATGAATGCGAGGATCAGAATGCAAATAAGAAGGGATACGTGTGAGAAGAAAGAAAGAGTCTAAAGCAGACAGTCTTGGAGAGAGTCTTGAACCGAGAGTTGACCGCAAGTTGAGAGCGAAAGTTGGAGCGAGCAACCGATTAGCGTATTTATAAATAATTTTGGTGTTATCCTTATTGATATTATTTTAATTAACTGTTGTTTGTTTTCTCTTAAACAAATTGAGTTTCTTTCAGAATTAATTCGTACAATCGGTAGCTCGTCCGGGATTTTACACTACCAATGATCTCCAACTGATTACCTGGGTCTCATAATTTGCTTTGCCTTCACCACTGCTACCAGTTCCATTTGCGTTTGCAGTAGTATTGCAATCAGGTATAATTTTTCCTAATTTTGCAATCCAATTATTTATTTTATCTCTTCGCCGACGCTCCACTTCATTATGGGTTGCTCTTCTTCTATCGTCTCTCTATAACATGTATAAATGATATGTGTAAAACTTGTAAATTTAGTTATAAACTTCTATTTGAAAGAAATATAGATTTGATATTCATACTTTTTTCAATCCAGTGTTACAAGTCCTTGGTGTTTCTATCTGTAAAGTAGTTGTTCTTGGAACCAGTGATCTAGAGGTCTGTGCAGTGGTGAAAACGTCATTAGCATTCCCAATGACATAAAACTGTCCATTCAATGGGGATGTTAAGACCTGTACAGTATTATTCCCTGGCTGACTGACTGGCAAATCTATTTCATTGCCAGCAGCAGTACTATTTAGTTGGACCACTCTATATGCCAAAGCTTCTTGGTAGCGCATTCCATCTTCACCAACAGTTTCCCCTATGAGTAAGAATAATTGGTATTATAGTTTTAATTAAAATGTACTTTATATAAATGAAATAAGTGTAAATACATTCAATTTACAAGAATATATCAAATCAATGATTTAGACACTTTTTGGTCTCTTAATCTTCTACAATCTTGTATAGATAAAACTGGTTTCAAATTTCAAAATAATTGTACATTTTAATTTAATAATTACATATTATAAATTGGAGTTACATTTGTAACAGCAAAAGAATAATACTTTCAAGCATCAAGCAAATAGTAGCACGACGACAAAATTCCCGACGAATATATAGAATGACACGCGGCAATACGAAATGTAATTTCAGAACCATATTTTGTACTTTCTGTTGATTTTACATGCGCCACTCTATACGTTCACAAGAACAGTATACTTTGAAATTAACGCTTAACTTTGATATCAGTGCAATGTATGCTTGCTGTTAATCCAAACTATATTTACCTTCACAGTCAACGATTTCCGCCTCCTCGATAACAATTCCTGTGCCGCCTTCATCCTTCGTGCTAACAGTGCTGTAAAAGAAGCGTAGTCTACGTTGAAGAATGGATATGCAACGTGTCTATAGGATTACGTCTATGCCTATTACTTCCACGACCGTTGTCCTAAGTCTTGTAAGTGCGCACTGTGCACTACGTGATGACCTTGAGGAGACCTCGACCGAAACAGGAGGGATAGGTGTTCGCATTATCAGCCAGTCGATATTTAACATAAACACTACCTGACATCCTGCTGTTCGAGATGCTGCTCCAATATATCCATTTTTTTTTCTACCAAAAACGTTTGAATTTGTCAAAATTCACGTGAGCTGGTCACGGGACACGGCAACGAGGTCATGTGGTGCACAAGATGGCGTTCACAGATTACAGCGCCACCTTACACTCGTCAAGTGTACGTAATTTTGAATGTTATGTACCGATTAATGATATCTACTTAGACTACTTACTTGGAATATTTGTGAAAAATTTGTTTATTCTATGTACTGAATATCTAATGGTTATTACAAAATAGTTATGTAAAAATGTGCTCCACTTTTTGATTATAAGAATCATTGCAGTTAGATCAAAGATCTAAATCTGCTTTCAATAGATTAAGGTTGTTTTAAAATTCATACATTTACATTAAATGTGTTCAATATTATTGATAATGCAAGTAAAAGCGATCATTCACACAAACATAATCACATACGTTTTTGGTACATACATCAATTTTCAAGGAAAAGGTCATTTTAAGGTCACAGCAAAAGACTATGTCTCTGTGAGACATAATAACATATTAATCCATTATTGCCTAATATTCTATCTCAATGATTCTTTTATCTTAATTTTGTATAACATTAATTGATAATACAGTGTAAGATAAAATATGTACGAGAGATAATTTACTATACTATTCAAATAATTTGAGCGTTACCATGTAAAAAAATAAAACAATTTATCGGGTAAAATTCTTCATAATTTATATGAAATATTTATCTCTATTTTGTCTCGAAAATGAATAGTTAAAATGGTATTTGAAATTTATCTTTCAAAACTATCAAATTTCAAAACACTCCCGATTGTTTCTGGAATATATTTGAAAATTTGAAAGTCATTCCGAAGATCGGTGTAAATACGAATGGCAGGAATTGCAACGTATCCTGCAACAGTTTTGATTGGTCGACGGGATACAGTTCATCATGGAGTACGTCGGTACGTACATTAAATTTTGTGATTTTTCATGTTTCTTCGTAGCAATTGTCAACGAATAAATATTTTTTGTTGCTACACGTTATGTTCGTTTTTAATTATTTCAAGTATAATGAATATGCATTACCCAAATTCCTCTTACGAAATCGTACAAATAGCAATTGTATACTTGGTATAAATTTCGAGCAGACTCGCTACCCTAATAAAAATTTTTTATATAGTCATTTGATTATTGTATTAAGTATCACGTAGCAATTAATTCACACAATTATTGCCAGTGAATTAAAAATTTTCCATAAAAATCTATTCTTTTAAAACATAACCTCGTATAATCTGTCTAAAATATTTTCTTTATTTTGATTTATTTTTGTGCATGTTAATCCCCTTCGAAACGACACGAATAAGCTATTTTCATAATCTAAGAGACATTATTGTACATTTGGAAATAATAGATTAAATGTTCTAACCAGCTACTATTTTTAGGTGCTACAAAAAGTGAAAGCAACGACAATTGTTGTAATTTAGCTCCTTGTTCTGATGTGGTATCGAATACAAATTCTAATGAAACCTCGTCTACAGAGACAAAAGACTCAATTCCAAAATGTGAAATTCTTGATACACAGTTAAAAGATAATAATGAAACTATTTCACAAGATCCGCCCCAAGAACACATAGACTTTAAAGTGATTTATAATAAACAACGGATTAATGTGAACTTTCCACTCGATGGTACTGTTGCACAATTAAAAGCACACCTTCAAAACATCATATCTGTGCCACAAGCCATGCAGAAAGTTATGATCAAAGGATTAGCTAAAGATGATCAAACACTAAGAAGTCTAGGAGTGACTAAAGGTAATTTAATGATAATGTAACATATATAACAACATCTATAATATTATTGTGTTACTATATATTTTATTATATTTTTTAGGTGCCAAAGTCATGGTGGTAGGATCAAAGTTACATGATGTATTGGCTGTATCTATTCCAACGAAACAAGACCTTTCAGACGAAGCTGCTTCTACAGCGAGCAAAGAACCCTTGTCTCAGCAAAAAATGCATAGGAAAGTTTTAGATAAAGGTATTCCAGAAGATGTCATGCCTGGTATATTAGATAGCAAGGTATGATTTTAAAACTGAACCAGTTAAGTGATTTGGGGAAAATAATTTTATTTAAAATAAATTTATTTACTAGGAACCTTTACCAGAATTTCCATTGGCTGGCATGTTAAATAAATCTGGTGGCAAAGTTAGACTAACATTTAAATTGGAGCAGGATCAACTATGGATTGGAACTAAAGAAAGAACAGACAAAATACCTATGAATTCTATAAAAGGTGTACATAGTGAACCTATACACGATTATCCAGAATATCATATTATGGTTTGTACCATTGTAATATTACTTATTTGTGAATTTTATATATTTATGCGTAATGGTATTTTTACAAATTTTAGGCTATTCAACTGGGCACAACAGAGGCTTCGAGATATTGGATATATTGGGTTCCTGCGCAGTACATATCCGCTATAAAAGATGCTATTCTTGGCAAATGGTGCTACTTCTGATCGATCATTGATGGAAATTTCTGTCTCTTTGAATGCAAAGTGTAATCAGGTGTAAGCATTGATACAAACACGACTGTGCTAGTCACACATTTTTAACAGTAAGTAGTAACTTATTTTGCGTTGGATATAACTGATGTCTCCTAATAAAAGTATTCTGTTAAGAAAACCGTTCTGGATAAATAATATCAATAATTTTTACTAAAAATGATAACGGTCATTTTATGAAATTCGGTAACAATCGATTTTACGAAAACACTTTCTCAACGTATTAATAAGATATTGTGATTTTTGGAGTGTAGAAAAATTTTTATACATTAAAATAATATTGTAATTGTAATTGTAATATTAATTTCTTTGGATTATATTGTGTGTA